TCATGTGTGTGTAAATTTTGTTGAAGATTTGGTGATGAGGCTGTTACGTCTCGTTTGCTCAGGGAGAAAGTGAAGTAACAATATGAAAACCAAGATGGTTAAGGTTTAACTAAAAATTGTTGATTTAATATTTACAGTGTAGGAAAAAGAAAAGAAACAGAAAAAAAACATATAGAAAGTTGTGGTGAAAATAAAAGGGATTTAAACAAAATAATCGACTAAACTAAGGAGCTCTAACTAAGTAAAGCGCAACAAAAATCTAACTAAAGTTGTACTGCGAAAACAAGGCGTCTCAACAGAGGCAACAGTCGCTATTTTAACCAAAAACAAAATGAGACAACCAAAAATCAACCATAGATCAACCAAACAAAAGTCGAGCGGCCGCAGGGATCCAGCTGCAGGCGGAAGAGTGTCCTTTTACACCCCGCGCTCCCACAGGTGCATCTGCGGACTGGTGGGGCCGGAAAGGTGAGCGGCCAATCCCCGTAACGATCCGAGAAAACCATTAACCGGAAGTTCCACAAAGCTCCAGCGGGACACTTCAGGGTGTTGTGAAAAGAGTTTACAGGGGGAGTGTGTGGACAAAGTATTTCTGGTTTTATAAGAAAGTGTGTCGTCTTCATTTGACCCGTCCTTCTGTGTGTCTGGGTTCAACTTGATGCATTAAACTCGAAGCTCGTAGCTGGACCGGAGCCTGTGTTATGTAAAATAAAAGTGGACTGAGCAGCTCCAGTCAAATGAAGCTCATCGAGGTCCAGATTTGTAAACCAGAGCTCGACTTTTATAGCAGCAAAATCTCGAGTCCAGTTCCGGTTCCAGTCGTTGGCGCTGACGCTCTCTGACGTGCGGTTTGTTTTCGTCCCGGTTTGAGGCTCACGTTCCGCAGACTCTCCTCTGTGATCCAAGTCCTGATCCTCTGACCTCCTGACCGCTGACCTCCGACCTCTGCCCCAGTGACATCATCCAGGCGGTCAACAAACCCCGCCCACGTTCGTCAAAAAACTCCACCTCCTTTTCCCTGAGAAACTCCTCTACCTCATCCCAGCACATGATCTGATTATGACAAAGATCTGGTCCAGTCCTGGTCCAGTCTTGGTTTTGGTTCAGTTCTGGTTCAGTCCTAGTTTAGTGCTGGTCCAGTTCTGGTTTTGTTTCAGGTGTGGTTTAGTCCTGGTTCTGGTTTAACTCTGGTTCTGGTTCAGTCTTCTTCCTGGTTCAGTCCTGGTTTTGGTTCAGTCTTTGTTTAGTCCTGGTTCAGTCCTGGTCTAGTCCTGGTTTTGTTTCAGTCATGGTTCAGTCCTGGTTCTGGTTCAGTTCTGGTGTAGTCCTGGTTTAGTCCTGCTCCAGTCCTGGTTTTGTTTCAGTCCTGGTTCAGTCCTGGTCCTGGTTCAGTCCTAGTTTTGGTTTAATCCTGATTCAGTTCTGATTCTGATTCAGTCCTGGTTTAGTCCTGGTTCTGGTTTAACCCTGGTTCTGGTTCAGACCTGGTCCAGTCCTGGTTGAGTCCTGGTCTTGGTTCTGTCCTGGTCCTGTTTTAGTCCCGGTTCAGTCCTGGTTGAGTCCTGGTCCTGTTTTAGTCCTAGTCCTGGTTGAGTCCTGGGCTTGATTGAGTCCTGGTCCTGGTTCAGTCCTTGTCTTGGTTGAGTCCTGGTTGAGTCTTGGTCTTGGTTCAGTCCCAGTTCAGTCCTGGTCCTGTTTTAGTCCCGGTTCAGTCCTGGTTTTGTGTCCTGTTTGAGTCCTGGTTTTGTGTCCTGTTTGAGTCCTGGTTTAGTCCTGGTCTTGGTCCAGTCCTGTTTGAGTCCTGGTCCTGTTTTAGTCCTAGTCCTGGTTGAGTCCTGGTCCTGGTTTAGTCCTGGTTCTCTTCTGTGATCCAATCCTAATTTTCTGACCCCCGACCTCATCGTGCCCCAGTGACATCATCCAGTCACTCACCAAACCCCGCCCCTTTTTCCCAGATAAGCCCCGCCTCTCTCCCAGATAAGCCCCGCCCCCTCTCCGCGGCACATGATCTGATTATGACAAACGAGATCTGTGACGAGGCGAGTAACGAGCTGAGTGACACTAATCATAATCTCACACACGCCGGGGTTTTTCTGCTGCTCCTCGGGAACTTTCCCTCGACTTCCGTTTGTTTCCTGGAAAGTCACGACCCGCGGACAGATTTAGACCCAGATCTGGACTCTGAACCATATGGCGGATCTGATCATGGAGGACTCACCTGGTCTGAGTTTTGTCCCAGAAAAGGACGGTCCTCATGAATTTAGTTCAACAGTGAAAGAATACTACTCATGATGGTTCAGTCCTGGTCCTGTTTTAGTCCTGGTCCTGTTTTAGTCCTGGTCCTGGTTGAGTCCTGGTCCTGCTCCGGTCCTGTTTGAGTCCTGGTCCTGTTTGAGTCCTGGTCCTGGTCTGGTCCTGTTTGAGTCCTGGTCCTGTTTGAGTCCTGTTTGAATCCTGGTCCTGGTCCTGGTCTGGTCCTGTTTGAGTCCTGGTCCTGGTCTTGGTTCAGTCCTGTTTTAGTCCTGGTCCTGGTTCTGGTCCGGTCCTGTTTGAGTCCTGGTCCTGATTCTGGTCTTGACCCGGTCCTGTTTGAGTCTTGGTCCTGGTCCTGGTCTTGGTCCTGTTTGAGTCCTGGTCCTGTTTTAGTCCTGGTCTTGGTCCTGTTTGAGTCCTGGTCCTGGTCTTGGTCCTGTTTGAGTCCTGGTCCTGGTCTTGGTCCGGTCCTGTTTGAGTCCTGGTCCTGGTCTTGGTCCTGGTCTGGTCCTGTTTGAGTCCTGGTCCTGGTCTTGGTCCTGTTTGAGTCCTGGTCCTGGTCCGGTCCTGTTTGAGTCCTGGTCCTGGTCTTGGTCCTGTTTGAGTCCTGGTCCTGGTCCTGGTCCGATCCTGTTTGAGTCCTGGTCCTGGTCTTGGTCCTGTTTGAGTCCTGGTCCTGGTCCTGGTCTTGGTCCTGTTTGAGTCCTGGTCCTGGTCCTGGTCCTGGTCCTGTTTGAGTCCTGGTCCTGGTCCTGGTCCTGGTCCTGGTCTTGGTCCTGTTTGAGTCCTGGTCCTGGTCCTGGTCTTGGTCCTGGTCCTGGTCTTGGTCCTGTTTGAGTCCTGGTCCTGGTCCTGGTCTTGGTCCTGTTTGAGTCCTGGTCCTGGTCCTGGTCTTGGTCCTGTTTGAGTCCTGGTCCTGGTCCTGGTCTTGGTCCTGGTCTTGGTCTTGTTTGAGTCCTGGTCCTGGTCCTGGTCTTGGTCCTGTTTGAGTCCTGGTCCTGGTCTTGGTCCTGGTCCTGGTCTTGGTCCTGTTTGAGTCTTGGTCCTGGTCCTGGTCTTGGTCCTGTTTGAGTCCTGGTCCTGGTCCTGGTCGTGGTCCTGTTTGAGTCCTGGTCTTGGTCCTGTTTGAGTCCTGGTCCTGGTCCTGGTCCTGAGTCCTGGTCCTGGTCCTGGTCCTGGTCCTGGTCTTGGTCCTGTTTGAGTCCTGGTCCTGGTCCTGGTCCTGGTCCTGGTCTTGGTCCGGTCCTGTTTGAGTCCTGTCTGTGTTTCAGGTACTTCCCGTTCGGGATCATCTTCCTGGTTGCGGGGAAGATCCTGGACATGGCCGACCCGAGTTCGCTGGGGAGGAAGTTGGGCTGGTACGGCGTCACGGTTCTCGCCGGACTCTTCGTCCACGGACTCATCCTCCTCCCGCTTTTCTACTTCATCCTCACGCACAAAAACCCCTTTAAATACATCCGAGGTCTGCTGCAGGCCATGGTCATCGCACTCGCAACCTCCTCCAGGTCAGAGCACTCACTGTACACCAGGTCACTCTACACCAGGTCACTCTACACCAGGTCACTGTGCTGCAGGCCATGGTCATCGCTCTCGCAACCTCCTCCAGGTCAGAGCCCTCACTGTACACCAGGTCACTCTACACCAGGTCAGACCTCACACTCTACACCAGGTCACTGTGCTGCAGGCCATGGTCATCGCACTCGCAACCTCCTCCAGGTCAGAGCACTCACTGTACACCAGGTCACTCTACACCAGGTCACTCTACCACCAGGTCACTCTACACCAGGTCACTCACCTGTCACACCAGGTCACTGTACACCAGGTCACTCTACACCAGGTCACTCTACACCAGGTCACTCTACACCAGGTCACTGTGCTGCAGGCCATGGTCATCGCACTCGCAACCTCCTCCAGGTCAGAGCACCTCACTGTACACCAGGTCACTCTACACCAGGTCACTCTACACCAGGTCACTCTACACCAGGTCACTGTGCTGCAGGCCATGGTCATCGCACTCGCAACCTCCTCCAGGTCAGAGCCCTCACTGTACACCAGGTCACTCTACACCAGGTCACTCTACACCAGGTCACTCTACACCAGGTCACTGTGCTGCAGGCCATGGTCATCGCACTCGCAACCTCCTCCAGGTCAGAGCCCTCACTGTACACCAGGTCACTCTACACCAGGTCACTCTACACCAGGTCACTGTGCTGCAGGCCATGGTCATCGCTCTCGCAACCTCCTCCAGGTCAGAGCACTCACTGTACACCAGGTCACTCTACACCAGGTCACTCTACACCAGGTCACTCTACACCAGGTCACTGTGCTGCAGGCCATGGTCATCGCACTCGCAACCTCCTCCAGGTCAGAACCCTCACTGTACACCAGGTCACTCTACACCAGGTCAGACCTCACACTCTACACCAGGTCACTGTGCTGCAGGCCATGGTCATCGCACTCGCAACCTCCTCCAGGTCAGAACCCTCACTGTACACCAGGTCACTCTACACCAGGTCACTCTACACCAGGTCACTCTACACCAGGTCAGACCTCACACTGTACACCAGGTCACTGTACACCAGGTCACTGTGCTGCAGGCCATGGTCATCGCACTCGCAACCTCCTCCAGGTCAGAACCCTCACTGTACACCAGGTCACTGTACACCAGGTCACTCTACACCAGGTCACTCTACACCAGGTCAGACCTCACACTCTACACCAGGTCACTGTGCTGCAGGCCATGGTCATCGCACTCGCAACCTCCTCCAGGTCAGAGGAAACACTCTACACCAGGTCACTCTACACCAGGTCACTGTGCACCAGGTCAGACCTCACACTCTACACCAGGTCACTGTACACCAGGTCACTGTGCACCAGGTCAGACCTCACACTCTACACCAGGTCACTGTACACCAGGTCACTGTGCACCAGGTCAAACCTCACACTGTACAAGAGGTCACTGTACTACAGGTCACTCTACACCAGGTCACTGTACTACAGGTCACTCTACACCAGGTCATTGTACACCAGGTTACTTTACACCAGGTCACTGTACTACAGGTCACTCTACACCAGGTTACTTTACACCAGGTCACTGTACTACAGGTCACTCTACACCAGGTCACTGTACACCAGGTCAATGCACTCCAGGTCAGACCTCACTTTGACCTGTAAGAAGGTTTTTAAACATTTATATTTTTGTTTTTTGTCCTTTTTGTCAGTCCTGGTCTAATCCTGGTTTAATTCAGTTTCAGTCCTGGTTTGGTTCTGGTTTAGTCCTGTAGCTGTAACAAAATAATTTAGTAAAATATACCTAAAAATACTGATATATCGATACAGCAGCCCATGATATCGATACTGTATCATCGTTAAATGATACGATACCTCAATATTTCGATATTTTTGCACAGCCCCAATATCTATGGAGAAAAGCATCTGACAGACCCTCCACCAGGGAAGTTGCACAATGCAGCTTTAAGATCTTACAAAAGATTACATTTTTTCTTTTATTTTTACATTTCAGAGCAGTGCTGTTATCGATGTGCTGTTATCTTACATCAAGAGCTATGTATAAATGTATAATATGTATAATAAATAATATAATAAATATATAATAAATAATATGTATAATATGTAAAAAAAAAAAAAAAAAGTTTGGAAACTTGCAGTAAGCGTGAACAGAGCCTATTTCTGAGTCACAGACAGAAGGATTTTAGAATAATACAAATATATGTTAAATTAAATGCAGTTTTGTACAGTCAGATACAGAAGCCCTGAGCGGCAAGCGTGAAAAAATAAAATAAAAAGAGACACGTCATTTGAGCTCTATTTTCTTCATTTTCTTTCTTTTCTTTTTTTTTGGCAACCAACAAGTCAAAAAAAAAAATGTTTCTCATCTTTTTTTTTTTTTTTTTTTTGCCAAGCAGCTAAAATTCTATATAAAATCAAACGTAAGTTATATACTAATACTACTACTGGTAATACTACTAGTGTTTGATTTTTTAAAAGTACTAATAAAATAATAATTGCTGTTTACTGAAGGAAAAAAAAAAGAAAAAAAACATCTTTTGTTTAGTTGTTGGTTGAAAAAAAAAAAGCTTTTTTTTTTTGTTTTTTTGTTACCCAGGGCTTCTGTAAAAATCTCACTACATATCAAGAAAATGATAGTGTAAAAGAGTTTTAGTGGGTTCTCATTTTGGTGTTTAAAAAAAAGACTCCAGGAAATATCACAACTGTTACCATAGCAACCACTTGGTCCACTTGGTCCACTTGGCCAAAGCTCCTCTAATGTCACAGGAATTATTGTCTGACAAAATAGAATTATAAGAAAACACCTTTATTTTTATGAAATCATGTTTAAAGATTCTGAAAAATGTGTTTTTTGTGTAAATTGTGTCGAACTTTCGACAGAATTCTCCCAGTGTGATGTCATCAGTGCGGGAACTCTCGACTTCCTGTTTCATTTTCAACATATTTTTCATATTTTCTTCACTTCTTTATTGCTTTTTGATTTGTGTAAAGATATAATTTCTATTTACAGCTGGTGTTATTCCACCAGATTCAGTCCAAATGAGAGAATCCTCAAACTCCACATCACGCGCTCGTTTATTCTGGTGACATCACTTCCTGTGGGCGTGGCTCTGTGGCTCTGACTCTCGCTCTGTTCTTTCGCCCTCAGCTCCGCGACTCTGCCCATCACCATGAAGTGTCTGCTGGAGAACTGCCGCGTGGACCGGCAGATCGCCCGCTTCGTGCTGCCCGTCGGCGCCACCATCAACATGGACGGCACGGCGCTGTACGAGGCGGTGGCGGCCATCTTCATCGCCCAGGTCAACGACTACGAGCTCGACTTTGGGCAGCTGGTCACCATCAGGTACGAGCGGCGGCAGTGGCGGCGGGAGAGCGGTTATCCCTCGTGCTCGCGGTGAGGAGGTTGTGGGTTCGACTCCTGATCTGTGGTGTGTTTCGCAGCATCACGGCGACGGCGGCGAGCATCGGGGCGGCGGGGATCCCTCAGGCTGGACTCGTTACCATGGTGATAGTCCTGACTTCGGTCGGGCTTCCTCCTGATGACATCACGCTCATCGTGGCCATTGATTGGATCCTGTGAGTGCATCTCTTTTCCCCAGGGACGTTTTCCTCCCGTGAACTCTTTTAGAAAATGAAAACGCCGGAGAACTGCAAATTTTAGCCGCCGCAAGAAACTGAGTCGATGTAAAAGCGGTGACGGAGAACAGTTAGAGCAGGAGAGTCAAACTCAAATTCACAGAGGCCAAAATTAAAAACTAGGACTAAGTCGTGGGCCAAACTAAGTATTTTGTTTTCTCTTCTTTTGAGATAATGTTAAATCTTTTCTTATTAAATTAAAGGTGTAATAATAGTTTTGTTTAAACACTGAATCCAGAACAAACAGAATATAAAATAATAGCAAAGTTTTAAATAAATAATGTGTCTATAACCTATCAGTAGCCGGTGAGCAGCTCTAATACAGATTTGATATGATCTCGTGGGCCAAATAAAATTATATCACCGGCCCAATTTGGCCCCCGGGCCTGAGTTTGACATATCTGAGTTAGAGGCTTGTAGACGTTTTTCACAACGGCCAGAAGTTTCCCGCTGTAGGTTTGCTGAACTTCTGGTTATGGATGTTTGATGACCTAAAAAAAAATCATGATCACAATTATTTTGGTCAATATTGAAATCACGATTATTCAAACGATTATTTTTTTGTTACTCGATGCATTTATTCAGCATTTCTTGCCAAAATAACACAGACTTTGTTATTGATAACACACAAAACTTTCAATCTGAAAATAAATATTGACTACAAATCTGAACATCTAGAGCAGTTTTGCGACGTATAAAACATAAAATGAACAGTGTTGGGAGTAACATGTTATAAAAGTAAGAAACGACTGTAATGCATTGCTTTTTGCTGTAACACAGTAATTTGGCAAAAAAACAGTAATATTTTACTTGGTACAAACGTCAGTAACGAGTGTTACAAAGCTTTTTTAACCTGGATTGAAGTGGTGGGTTTTTCTTCATACAAATTCGCTAAAATCACCGCCATATCAGCAGCGAACTCTGCTCCGACCTGGTTTAGTCCTGGTGTAGTCCTGGTTCAGTCCTGGTTCAGTCCTTGGTTTAGACCTGTTTTAATCCTGGTTCAGTTCTAGTTCAGCTCTGGTTTATTCCTAGTTCAGTCTGTATACGGCTCAAAAGTTCAGCATCTTCACAGTCAGAGTGAGAGTAACTTAAAAGTAATGCAATAGTAATACTTTACATTTTAAATACAGTATTGTAATGTAACTAATGACTTTGAAATGACAGTAATAAGTCATAAATAACACATTACAGTTTTGAAGTAACTTGCCCAACAGTGAAAATGAATAAAATAAACTTTGAACATGAAATAAGGCAGAAAAACATAAATGTGTCCAAAATACACTCTATATCCAGCTTTTCTACATTCTCTAGATTTAAAAATAAATATACTTATTTATATAAAAAATATCCCAAAATAAACTGTTATGTTTTAGGCAACTCACACTCGGACTTTAGAACTGTGTCGATTGCTGTGGTTCTATGTTCCGTACTCCCAAAAATGTATTTTCATTTATTTTCTCGCCAGGTGAGAAAATAATTTTTTGGGTCTGATTGACCCGCGGGTCTCTCTCTAAGAGAGAGGGAAGGAAAAAAACTGTTTCTTCGGGTCAGTGTGACCCCAAGGAGAGCGTGAGGGTTAAGTTTTGTTCTTTCTTCTCTTGATCGTTGTGGATAAATTAAATGAAGAATGTTTATCCTTTGTGGAGTTTGTTGGTTGAAGATTTGGTGATGAGGCAGATTTATGGGGGTCAGTCTTATCATCAGAAGAGCCTCTAGTCAGAAAATCCATGTTCAGGTCGTGTTACAAATTGTTACAAATGAAATTGTATTTCAAGTTTTAAATATTTTAAAAAGTAAACATTAAAAGTAATAAATATATGAAACCCTTAAAATACTGCAAAAATGTTTGAGGAAATAATGATTTGGGTGGAAATCACTTAAGTCTTAAGTGGAACAGGGTTAATAATTGTCTGATTTTCAGGCAACAACTTGCAAATGTTCAGTAATTCGAGCTCTACAACCTACATTTCAATTTTATTTTAAATCTTTTTCTTTTAATAAGCATTGGTGGGTTTGTAAACCAACACATTAAGTCATGCTGGCCTTAGCTAATGCTGTTATTCATGATTATGTGTTTTCCTGTCAATATCTCTAAATATTTTGATTTTGCAGCCATTTTTAATTGGTAAACATCCCAAAGTTTACTAATTCTTCCCTGATATCCAGGGATTATTCCCTGTTGCTTTCATCAAATATACATTCAATTGTTCAAGAGAAATGTTGCTGACAAACCAATAGAAGAGGGAATGATTTTCTGACTAGTGGGTCTTCTGACTACAGGGCCTTCTGACTAGGGGGCCTTCTGATTAAAGGGCCTTCTGACTAGGGGGCCTTCTGATGATAAGGCTGTAACCGATTTATGAAGCTGGACATTTCCAGCAGTTTTTTTTTTCTTCTATTAAGTCATTTTAGATCAATATTGTGATTTTAAAAGTTATACCAGAATATTCCACGGGGGTCAGAGACGACGTAAACTCTACTACAGCAGACACAAGCACAAACACGTCTGCATTAAAGACTTTTATTTCACACAGTTTGACGTGTGAGTGTTTTGTGTGTTGTTCTTACTCTCTGTGCGTTTGTGTTTTTCAGGGATCGGTTTCGGACGATGATAAACGTTCTGGGCGACGCTCTGGCCGCTGGGATCATCGCTCACCTCTGCAGGAAGGACTTTCCCCTCAGCAACTCCGGCAAGGTACGCTAACAACGCTAAGTGTGCTAATAACGCTAAGTGTGCTAATAACGCTAAGTGTGCTAATAACGCTAACAACGCTAATAACGCTAAGAGTGGGGTGAGCTCTGTGTTCCTGCGTTTGTTGTGTTGTGGGGTTATGGTTCAGGTTAGGGCTCGGGTGAGGGGTGAGGGTGAGGGGGGTGAGGAGGGTGAGGAGGGTGAGGGGGTTGAGGGGGTGAGGGGGTGAGGGGTGAGGGGGAGGAGGGTGAGGAGGGTGAGGGGTGAGGGGTGAGGGGGTGAGGGGGTGAGGGGGTGAGGGTGAGGGGGTGAGGGGGTGAGGGGGTGAGGGGGTGAGGGGGTGAGGGGGTGAGGGGGTGAGGGGGGTGAGGGGGGTGAGGAGGGTGAGGAGGGTGAGGGTGGGTTGTGGGAACACGGGTGCACTCCCCTAATAATGCAAATGCTAATAATGCTAACGCTAATGCTAATAATGCTAACCGTGCTAACTACACAACACCACAGTCAGTCTGTCTCCTAATGGTTCTCATCTCTGTCTGTGTCTTTGTGTTTTTATGTATGTGTCACTGATTTTCTTTTGTTTCTGTGTTTGTGTCTCTCCGTCTGTTTCTCTCTGTGTCTCTGTCTGTCTGTGTCTCTGTGTCTTTGTCTGTGTCTTTGTCTTTGTCTCTGTCTCTGTGTTTGTCTCTGACTCTGTGTCTCTGTTTGTCTCTGTGTTTGTCTCTCTGTTTCTGTCTCTGTGTTTGTCTCTCTGTTTCTGTCTTTGTTTCTGTCTTTGTCTCTGTCTCTGTGTTTGTCTCTGTCTCTGTCTCTGTGTTTGTCTCTCTGTTTCTGTCTTTGTCTGTGTCTTTGTCTCTGTCTCTGTGTTTGTCTCTGACTCTGTGTCTCTGTTTGTCTCTGTGTTTGTCTCTCTGTTTCTGTCTGTGTTTGTCTCTCTGTTCTGTCTTTGTTTCTGTCTTTGTCTCTGTCTCTGTGTTGTCTCTGTCTCTGTGTTTGTCTCTCTGTTTCTGTCTTTGTCTGTGTCTTTGTCTCTGTCTCTGTGTTTGTCTCTGACTCTGTGTCTCTGTTTGTCTCTGTGTTTGTCTCTCTGTTTCTGTCTCTGTGTTTGTCTCTCTGTTTCTGTCTTTGTTTCTGTCTTTGTCTCTGTCTCTGTGTTTGTCTCTGTCTCTGTCTCTGTGTTTGTCTCTCTGTTTCTGTCTTTGTCTGTGTCTTTGTCTCTGTCTCTGTGTTTGTCTCTGACTCTGTGTCTCTGTTTGTCTCTGTGTTTGTCTCTCTGTTTCTGTCTTTGTCTCTGTCTCTGTTTTTGTCTCAGGGCGTCCCTTCGTACGGGACGGGGAAGCCTCACAGTGTGAACGTCCCGATGACGGAGCTGCACTCGCACAGAGACTGTCTGTACGACGACGACCTGAGCGAGAGACACACGGTCTACTACAACATCTGCCAGGTCTGAACCGGGACTAGACCTGGTTTAGTCCTGGTTTAGACCTTCTTTAGACCTGGCACATGATCTACTATAACATCTGCCAGGTCTGTACCGGGACTGGACCTGGTTTGGTTCTGGTTTAGTTCTCAGTTAGACCTGGGACATTGGTCTAGAAGAACATCTGCCAGGTCTAAATAGGGACTAGACCTGGTTTAGTCCTGGTTTGGTCCTGGTTTAGACCTTCTTTAGACCTGATACATGGTCTACTACAACATCTGCCAGGTCTGAACCGGGACTAGACCTGGTCTGGTCCTGGTCTAGACCTTCTTTAGACCTGGCACATGGTCCAGAAGAACATCTGCCAGGTGTAAAGAAGGACTAGACCTGGTTTAGTTCTGGTTTAGTTCTTCTTTATACCTGACACATGGTCTACTACAACGTCTGCCAGGTCTAAATCAGGACTATACCAGGACTATACCAAGACTAAACCAGGACTAAACCAGGTCTGGACCGGGGCTAGACCACCACAGCACCAGGTCTGGACCAGGTGTGAGTCCGGACTACAGTCCTGGTCATGGTCTGTTCCTCTGGGTCGTGGCCTAACCCTCCTCAGCGCGGTGCCTTCTTCTTCTTCTCCTTCTTCTTCTTTTTCTTCTTCTTCTTCTCTGGTTGGTTCGGGGCATGCGGGCATGCGGTGACACTGGCTTCAGTTGAAGTCTCACATTTTTCATAAATTATATCTGTATTTTTGTATAAATTGTGATAAATTATTTGATTTTAAATGTTTGTGTTGTAGATTTAAAGTAGATGTTTTCGTTCATACCTCATGTTTGTCCGGCTCTTCAGATGTAAACGCGGGGACGCTCAGGGAGGACGGGGACAAACACAAATATGAAATTAATCCATAAAGAAAAAAACTAAATAGTGATCGATCTCAGTTTTGGAAAATAAAAACCGTTAAAGCTCGCGCCTCCTGAAGTGCTCCCCCTTGTGGTTTGTGAGAGTCGTGGACCTTCTGCCTTAACTCACGTCAGACCTCCTCAGTTTCTGAACGCACAAACTTCCTCTCCACACTTTTGTATCTGTGTCTTTTGAAAATTTGTGTGTTTTTTTCTGTTTTGTTTCTGCATTAAACGTGATTAAACCTTAAACGTGGTGAAACTTTTTTTCTGATTTCACTTTTCTAAACTGTCCCCCTCCTCCCGTAAACTGTTTTTATTCTTGCTCACTCATGGAAAAGGAAAAGTGTGGTTGGTCGAACAGGTTTCCACACTTCACACTCCACCCCTGCAGTTTTTTTTGATACAAACACCTGTCTGTGATCAGGGCAGTGCTGTGTGATGTCATCAACTACTTGAAACTGCAGCGGCCCCTGGAGGCAGCACACACTTAGATCTGGACTGTTTTTGACCAGAAAACTGTACCAAGTTTGCACTGATGTTGCCAAAAATGACCTGGGACAGTAAATGACGCTGTAAAAACAACAGATACACATTTGTTAAACTTAAACTTCACTTTAAATGTGAGAAACCGTCAGTGTAAAGTAAAACAAAAGACCTGTAAAAGTCCTTAAAGTCATGTTCTGAAGTTGTTTCCTTTTCAAAATCAAAGCTTGAGTTGTGTTTGTTTCATTCACATGTTTGAGTAAATCTTTATTATGAGTCTGTTTACATCTGTAAAACTCTAAATGCTCTGTTCCACCTTGTGATGTCATGAAGTGGTAGAGACGGGCAATTCCTGTGTCTCAGTTCTGGTTCCCGCACCTAATCTTGAACCAACTCACGTGTTCACACCAGAATTCAGAGAGTTTGGGAACTGAAAAGTTGGTTTCCAACAGTGAACCGTGACAGAAGACGTCAGCGCGTTCGTCCAAGTCACACTCTGGAAAATAAACAAAGAGTAGCTGAAACTATCACGTATTAAATTTAAAGTTTTAAGTCGACAGAAACTATTCCGTGCCTTTGGTCTTGCATGTGTGTCTGTGCTCTCCTGATAAGATTATATCTTTGGATTGGGCGTCGCTGTCGTCTTCTCCACAGCAGATCCATGTTGTGTCAGAGTTTGGTACATAAATATTGACTTGTATAAGTACAAACTCTCACTGGTGTTGATGATGTGATCCATGAAGGTTATTTTCCTCCTGTGTCGTCTGTTTTCATATGACCTTTTTTTATTTGGTGGTAAATCCACTCCCTCTGTCGATGACGCGTCATGGGTTCACTTTAATAGTTTGAACGTGGGTCGTTCACTGGTGAGAACTTTGGTTCCAGTGGAACTGGAACCAGCACCGTTCTGACCGACCTGAAAACAGCTTCTGTGTCTTTCTGTGTTTCTTTGTTTCTTTTGGCAATTCCAGGTCTGAAATGATCCAAATGATTCTGAAGGTGTGTGGAGTTTAAAAACATACCGGAGCACTTCCTGTATCACCACACGACATCACAAGGTGGAACAGAGTGTTTTCAGTTTGAGAGAAGAACTCTTAAACATGTGTGAATGAAGCAAAACACAACTCCAGATCTGTTTGTGACGAGGACATGACATTTGAAATCGGAAAATGCGTAAAATGAGCCGAACCAGAGTTTGTGTTTCTGAGGTCACATGGTTCTGGTTCTGTTGGACTCTCCTGGGTCTGTCCTTTGTCTCTGTTTCTGTTCATGTGGGGACGTTGTCCCTCTGCTGCCCCTTGTGGCGGAGGTCGGATTCTCGCGCAGATCTGACCCTTGGCGTTTTTGTCCTGTGACACTTTTTAATCCTAAAGCGTGAGGAGCAAACTCAGTAATCCACAGATTAACCCCTCTGCACTTCACCTGGTCCCACCCGAGGAGGGTCAGGGGCGGACGAAGACGAGGAGGAGGACGAAGAGGACGAGAACGAGGGAAATATGAGACAGAAGTGCACTTAAAACAACATGCAAGAACTAACAGTACTGCAATACCAATATTACAACAGGAGAGAGAAACCTTACAGCTGTTCAGACTGTGAGAAAGACTTTGCCTAAAGAGTTTCTGTTCATACACACATGCAAAGAGCTGTAGTAGTAGTAGTAGTAGTAGTAGTAGTAGTAGTAGTAGTAGTAGCAGCAGGGTGACCAGACGTCCCCGTTTTCCCGGGACAGTCCCAGTTTTGAGCCTGTGTCTCTGTCCCTGTAGATTTATACAGAACCACTGATTTGTCTCAGTTTTATACAAGAAATGTCCCAGTGTCTTTATTTTGGACAAATCTGATCCTGCAACAGTAAAGAGAGACATAAACTGACATTTGTTTAGGTAAAATATCGAAAAGCTGCTTAAAAATTAACAAAATACAAAGAAAATGTGACTAGACCGACTCGATTTTCCTTAATTTGTTTCACAGTGTCCCAGTTGTAGAAGTCGTCCTAAACCCTTTCTGAATCTGAAATCACATTGTATTAAATTTGTACTTGGTGTTTTCACATTTTACCTCCTGGAGCATTCACACCCGAGACACAGAAATCTTTAAACTTATCCAAGAATCCCTGGACTTTAAGAACAAGTTTGAACAGAATCAGCAGGGAGGGCATCTGACACAGAGACCAGTTCAGAACATCCATCCATGTTCTTCCTCTTCTCCGGGGTCGGGTCTCGGGGGCATCAGTCTGAGCAGGGACTCCCAGACTTCCTTCACCCCAGACACTTCCTCCAGTTCCTCCAGAGGGACCCTGAGGTGTTCCCAGGCCAGTCCAGAGACATAGTCCCTCCAGTGTGTCCTGGGTCTTCCTCCTGGTGGGACATGAGACACCTCCTGAGGGAGACGCCCAGGAGAGACAGAACTTAGATTTAGACAAACTTTATTGATCTACAAAGGAAATTATTTGGACACAGGAGCTCACACAACACAAAATAATATAATAATAATAATAGGGCTGGGCAAAAATTTCAAAAATTAATCACAATTAATCGCATGTTATACGCAAAACCAATTAATGAATTAAAAAGTAGAGTACAGCTGCACTTTTATTGGAAATGTAAATGAAAGAGCCAAACATTTGTTGTGCAAACAGCATTTCTTTCACAGAGGAACCTCAGAGTCTTCAAGGTTTTCAGTGAAGGCCCAAGAAAAAATATTGAATGGATTTTTGTATCACTAAAATATTTTTTCAATATTTTTTATGCTGTGAGTAATAAACACGACACTAGTAATAATTTCTAGATCAGTGTTGTAAACTTGGACTGATATTTCTTAGGAAACAAAGGGTTAATATAATGGAATGGAAATGGACCAATCACAGTTTTTCTTCCAGTGGTATCTGGGTAAATCAGTGACTCCCCCTGCAGCGCTGAACTAAAGAAACACCTGCAGCGCTGAAGAAATAAGCTCAGCTCAGAGCTCACGGTTGGTCTGATCAGAGCCGGAGCCTGCGGCCGAACTCGCAGAGGCTCGGACACGTTGCATCTTACGTGGTCAGAAAAAAATGAAAAAAGTTTAAAAGAAAGACATCAAACTTAAAGAAACGCTCACGGTGGACTTTTTCAGAATAAAAGCCAGTGAGAAACAGAAGTTTACAATAAAATAAATAAATAAATAATAAAAACTGCGTAAAAGGTGTTAAAATAATTGTCGGCGATAATGACTTAATTAGTTAACGCAAAATTAAAGCGTTAAAGGGATAGTTTGGATTTTTTGACATAAATCTGTATGTCATCCCCGTCATCAGTGTTGTGCATCCACACCGACTTACCCCCGAAAGCGTCCGGTGAGCCGAGATCGTGACCGGTTTTGGTGCTGAGGAAAGTAGTTCGGCAAGTTGTGTGGGGACTTTATACTAAAGCGTTTTTCTTCTCAAAGCAATATGTGTTCAAAAGAGTGATACATTTGCATCACAAAACCATCGTCGCCAAAAATTCAGATCTCATAATCGCTTGGCGCTATTTTCTCTCCGTACGTACCACTGCGCGCGGCCGCCAGGTGACAGCCGCGCACCGATCCATCACTTTCTTCAGTTGTTCGGCAGTGTTTCCATGCACAGACGCCGCCACGCGAGAGAGCTAACGAGAGAGAGCTAACGAGAGAGCTTCTTTTGAACACATATTGCTTTGAGAAGAAAAAAACACTTTAGTATACAGTCCCCACACAACTTGCCGAACTACTTTCCTCAGCACCAAAACCGGTCACGATCTCGGCTCACCGGGCGCTTTCGGGGGGTAAGTCGGTGTGGATGCACAACACTGATGACGGGGATGACACACAGATTTATGTCAAAAAATCCAAACTATCCCTTTAACGTGCCCGGCCCTAAATAATAAAGAGTAAAAAACAGACGTCCTCCCCTCAGCTGCTCCTCTCCACGTGGAGGAGCAGCGGCTCTACTCCGAGCTCCTCACTCTGTCTCTAAAGGAGACGCCCGGTCGCCCTGTGGAGGAAACTCATCTGTGTCTCTTGTGTCGTGGATCTGGTCCTTCGGGTCATGACCAGAGGTGAGGGGAGGAACGAAGACTGACGCTAAATCCAAACTCAGCTCCTCTTCACCACAACGAACGATACAGCGACCGCACCTGTCCACCTGTCAATCTGCCCACCTGTCAATCTCACGCCGCACCTGTCCACCTGTCAATCTCACGCCGCACTTGTCCACCTGTCAATCTGCCCACCTGTCAATCTCACGCCGCACTTGTCCACCTGTCAATCTGCCCACCTGTCAATCTCACGCCGCACCTGTCCACCTGTCAATCTCATGCTCCGTCCTCCCCTCACTCCAGATCAAGACCCCGACAGACTTTTATTTATTTATTTTTTTATTTGATGATTTATTTCGGTCACAGGTAGATTTTGACATGAATTCACAGACATGAATTGTTTTTACTTGAACTCGTCCACTTGAGGCAGAGACTCTCCACCCGCCCGGACACGACGACAAGACGCCTCAAATTTCCAAACATGTAGACGTCTAAACTCCAGCAGGGAGATGTTCCTCCAAACTCACTCGTCCTGAAACCCTGAGCGGAAGAAACTCGCTCCATCTCCAGTTTAAGCCTCAAATCGTTCAATCTGAGCGATCTAGAAAAGTCTAGAACAGCCGTTAAAATAATAATAATAATAATAATAATA